ATATTAATTAGTTTATTAGGATAAATATGTTTTCCTATTTTTTAGGATTAGGGTACGACTTTATTTAAGGGACCGGCCACCCCATTGTTTGGATTCATTCTAGTATTTTGATTCTTGTCGTAGACATTGGAGATTACTGGGTCTCGNGGTACGACTTTATTTAAGGGACCGGCCACCCCATTGTTTGGATTCATTCTAGTATTTTGATTCTTGTCGTAGACATTGGAGATTACTGGGTCTCGGATTCCAGAGTTTATTTTAATAAGCATCCGATTAGTGGTACTTTTGGCCGCTAATCTTGATTTTGCCAATTGATTCGTATCAATTACCAAAAGCAGATATCAGATTCAGGAAAATAATCACATTTTCTATTTCCCTTTATTATCCTTGCCCCAGCCGTTCCTGCATTGCATATATTTAAAACAGAAAAATGAGGGTTAGACCAGAAGGGTCTAGTGAGTAAATCATCTTCTTTGCAAACACAAGGCGATGAACACCAAATGTAATAAAGTATCTTTGCTCTGAAATATTTGTAATATAATCAAATAATGCAATTCTCAATGGCATATATAATAGAGTAAATTCAAGAACCTCAGTTCTTATTAAATAAATACATCCGCTTAAGGATCCAACATTCTCAATATGAAACAAATATTGTGACCAAGGCTTCTTAAATCATCAAACCATTCCTTTGTAAACTTTTAAAGGAAAGTTTTAAGGCGATACTTGCCCTTTATGACAAACCATTTTCCTCTTCTCAATAACATCTAAATTAATATTTCTAATAAGAATAATATCTCTAATTCATCAAGTCACAAAGAAATGATGATTCAAAGTTATTAAATCCAATTAGTAATAATAATAAGAGTTATAATAATATCCACATATGACAATGGCTCCCTTATTCCAAGTATACCTCTCTCTGATATGTCACTTTTATTCTTTCATCAAAACAGGGCTACTTATCAGAACAGACAAAAGTCACCACGTCTGAAGGTACTCATTCCCACTTCCAAGACAGAACCGACAAAAGTCATCACGTCTGGGGGAAATACCACTTAAAACATGTTTCATACTAAAACAGACTTACGTCACCACGCTTGGTAGAAACAGTTTTACAAAATCCACTTCCATACCAGAACAGACTTACGTCGCCATGCTTGGTATGAAGGTTTCCCAAAATATAGTTTCATACCAAAACAGACTTATGTCACCACACTTGGTAAAAACATTTTCCGAAATCCAGTTCCATACCAAAACAGACTTACGTCACCACGCTTGGTAGGAACATATCTTTTTATTTAAAAAGATATAAAATACCCCTTTTTATAAATCCATAATTAAACCCAGTAATAATTTACCAGATCATGAAAATTCCAAGGAAATCTAATACTTATAATTATCAAATATAAGTCACCCGGACAATGTTATCCGGATATACAATCCCGGACAACACTTGTCCCTTTTTATCCGATAAACAAATCCGGACAACACCTGGCCGGTTTATAACTAATCCGCTTAACACCTGTCCGATTTAAGACTAAACCGCTCAATATGTGATCGATTTAAACTAATCCGCACGACCCTTAAGCGATTTAAGACTAAACCACTCAATGTTTGGTCGTATTCATACTTCTCCGTTCAAAACCTTTGTCCGGTTTACATAGTTCAAAATTCTCACTAACACCCTAAATCGCACAACACTTAAGCGAACCCCTTGTCTGAATAAAAACCTTAACTGAGTAACTGATTCTTTCCAATAATAAGTAACATTCAAATAAAACCAGTAACAAATTTTATGCAAAAAGAGTTTAGAAATCACTCACCTTTAAGAATGAACTCAGATTTTAAAGAAGATAAGAAATACAAAAACCAACTTGATCAACACTAAATCTCCGAACAACTCTTCTATCAAAATTTCCAAAACTTTTCAAATGAGGCAAGAGAAAGCCTTTTTACCAAAAACTTTATATTTATACTCCCTATAAAGGAAAGTCGGCTGAAATAGCCAACACCCTTTATACATGTGTTCATGTAATTACATGCATACCCCCACAAACTTCATGCACATATAGTTACTCTCTCTCTCACACACACACATATATATATATATATATATATTTATATATTATGCATATATATATATATATATATATATATATCCCCATGCATAATACACACATATTCACATATTTAATCCATATAAGCATGCATCCATATAGTCAATTGTTTTACATAATAAATACCTTGGGTAATAATCAGAACCCGATTATCACAATTTACCAAACGCATACCGGGTAATCGCTTACCAGCAAAAAGACATCACCCTTGCTTACCTGATCGCGTAACATTCTCGGCCATCAAAATGAATTGTTGGTAAGCGTCTTTTACCCGGAAGCGCTTACTGGGTAAGAGTCTTTTCCCTCACCACCGGGTAAGACTGTCGGTGCGTGCTATGTCTCTTACCGGGTAAGATTCTCGGTCATTGCCATGTTTAATCGGTAAGAGCATAGTTAACGGATCTTAAATGTCATAATAGACTCTGTTTTATAGGACGTCAAAAATGACCAATTGGTTTAATAGACTGTTTTATAAAACTTAAGTTATATAATAATAAGTTCATAGGATGCTTTTGAACATCATAACAATTTTTTTAGGACATGTTTAAAATAAAGCGTTATATTAGGTATTTTATAGGACATTGTCCTATAAAAACAAGTGGTGTTAAATGATGTCCATGTACATTATTTTAGATATTTGACAAACTGGTATTTTATTGAAATTGCAGGAGCAACGTCCTTCCTCTATACCGAATACCAATATGTTGGCGTTTTCATGGTTGCTTTTGCGGTTTTGATCTTTGTGTTCCTTGGCTCAGTCGAGGGTTTCAGCACCAGTAGCCAGCAATGCACGTACGATAGCAGCAAGCTCTGCAAACCCGCTCTTGCAACTGCCATCTTCAGCACCATATCCTTTTTGCTTGGCGCAATAACCTCCGTAATATCTGGCTTTCTTGGAATGAAAATCGCAACATATGCAAATGTCAGAACTACCCTCGAGGCTAGAAAGGGAGTCGGGAAGGCTTTTATCGTTGCATTCCGTTCGGGTGCAGTCATGGGGTTTCTTCTTGCTGCAAATGGTCTCCTTGTCTTGTATATTGCTGTCAATCTGTTCAAGATTTATTATGGTGATGATTGGGAAGGTCTTTTTGAAGCTATAACTGGTTATGGACTTGGTGGATCTTCCATGGCACTTTTTGGCAGAGTTGGTGGTGGAATCTATACGAAAGCCGCTGATGTTGGTGCTGATCTTGTTGGCAAGGTCGAGAGGAACATCCCCGAAGATGACCCCAGAAATCCTGCGGTAAATCTTACCTTGTTAGACTATTTCTAAATGTTTGACTTTCTGACAGATTTTGAAGCATTCTTCTGGGGAAGGGGATGATATCGGTCATTTCGTTGCAGGTTATTGCTGATAATGTAGGTGACAATGTTGGGGATATTGCTGGTATGGGATCCGATCTTTTTGGTTCATATGCTGAGTCGTCTTGTGCTGCTCTTGTTGTTGCATCCATTTCCTCGTTCGGGAACAATCATGATTTCACTTCAATGATGTACCCTCTCCTGGTGAGTTCCGTGGGTATTCTTGTCTGTCTGCTCACTACCTTGTTTGCGACCGACTTCTTTGAAGTCAAGACTGTGAAGGAAATCGAGCCTGCTTTGAAAAATCAGCTCATAATTTCAACCGTCTTAATGACTATCGGCATAGCACTTATTAGTTGGATTGCGCTTCCTCCTGTCTTCACCATCTTCAATTTTGGAATCCAGAAAGAAGTTAAGAACTGGTAAACTTTGTTTCCTCTTCCTCTTTGGTACTGACCAAGACAAAATTGGTCTTTTAGGACGTCCAACCGTCATTGGGCGTCCGAAATTAACAGAGTAGTTGCTGGAGAACTATATGTCATATCTTACTATAAGTTGTTACGGCAAAGTTAGGTGACCTAACAAGTTCTATCAACAAAATTGAAACAACCAGATAGCACAAAGAAAAAGTAAATCGTCTTATTAACCTTTTTAGGACGCTTGTGAAGTTGTTGTAGATAGGACATGATTTTTTATCCTATAATAAGTCCCATTAAGTACTCTATTAGGAGATTCGTGTCCTAAATGACCCCATTTTTTGTAGCGGAGAGTAAGTGGTTTCGGTTCAAGCTCTTATGAATCTTTTATGCAGGCAATTGTTCTTATGTGTTGGTGTTGGTTTATGGGCTGGGCTTATAATTGGGTTCGTAACGGAGTACTACACGAGCAATGCATACAGGCCTGTGCAAGATGTCGCTGATTCTTGCCGAACAGGAGCCGCTACAAATGTGATATTTGGTCTTGCTTTGGGGTATAAATCGTGTATCATTCCAATATTCGCGATTGCAATCAGCATTTTTGTTAGTTTTAGTTTTGCTGCCATGTATGGCATTGCTGTAGCTGCGCTTGGAATGCTGAGCACCATAGCCACTGGTTTAGCCATTGATGCATATGGCCCCATTAGTGACAATGCAGGAGGCATAGCCGAAATGGCTGGGATGAGCCACAGAATTCGCGACAGAACCGATGCCCTTGATGCTGCTGGAAATACCACTGCTGCTATTGGAAAGGTACATTCTCAATATGTTCCTTCCTTCTAAGGGTCCTTTTATCAAACACTTATCGGACAAGGGCTTGCTGGCAAGAGACAATTTTTTCTCTTACCTTATTGGTAACATTCTCGACCATCAAAATTGATTTTTAGACCTGGCAAGTGCATACCTACTAAGAATCTTCTCACCTCACCGAATTTTCTCGGTCCTTGTTATGCCTCTTATATGGTAAGATTTTTGGTCCTTGCCATGTTCACACGTAAAGTAAATGACACCCGGTAAGAATTTGGTAAACGGTTCCTAAGTTGTTACTCTCCAAACCCTAAACAACCTGCCTCTTGTATAATCTTGAAAAAACTAGAAGATTAGTTTGTAAAATTGACTTCTAAAAATGGCAAAATGCAACAAAGTCCGGTTTAGTTTCAATCAGTGTAACGGAGAATTTTTTTTCCCAATCAATGTAACAAGGTTTTCTATTTTATACCCATTTTAACCGATACTGATCTTGTAACATTTGATGATGTGGATATCCGTTTACAAAAAGTTTACGAAAGGGTTAGGGTAAAATGGACGATAAATATGACATCTATGTTATCAAATATTACACAATCAACACATTATCAGTCAAAATTGTTAAAAAAGACAGTTTTGAAACTTTATTGTATTAAATAGGAAAATTTGAAGCTTCTTTAAATTGATTTGACAAAAAAATATTATTTGTTACATTAAATAGGAATTAAATCAAACTTGGTTGCAGTTTGATGCATTTTGCACTTCCATAAAATGTAATAAAACTAAATAGTCGATTTCGTAACAGGGCTTTGCGATAGGGTCTGCAGCACTTGTATCCCTGGCCCTCTTTGGTGCGTTTGTGAGCCGAGCCGAAATTACCACTGTAGATGTTTTGACGCCAAAAGTTTTCATCGGTCTGATTGTGGGTGCCATGCTTCCATACTGGTTCTCAGCCATGACGATGAAAAGCGTTGGAAGCGCAGCGTTAAAGATGGTGGAGGAAGTGCGAAGGCAGTTCAACACCATTCCGGGACTCATGGAAGGCACGGCCAAGCCTGATTACGCCACCTGCGTCAAGATATCCACTGATGCCTCCATTAAAGAGATGATTCCGCCTGGTGCTCTTGTCATGCTCACTCCTCTCATTGTCGGCATTTTCTTTGGCGTTGAAACGCTTGCTGGCGTTCTTGCTGGAGCCCTCGTCTCTGGTGTACAGGTAAAATCCGATCACGCTTTCATCTATTTCTTTCTCGTGCTTATAGAAGAAAATGAAGATTGTCAATTCTGCCTGTGGAATAGTTTCCTTTTTAGCGAACTCCAGAGCATCTCCAGCACATTCTCCAAAATAGAGATGCTCTCATTTCTTTATCCAAGCGTATGCTTGATTCTCAATTGTTTCTCTCTTCTTTCTATAATGCAGATTGCTATATCTGCATCAAACACCGGTGGTGCTTGGGACAATGCCAAGAAATATATCGAGGTATCATAAATGCTCGGCTCTCTCCTCTTTAATTATCCATCTATTTTTATGGATCTTTTTGGGATAAATTCAAACGTATCTGTGGGCATTGTCGTTTCAGGCTGGTGGTTCTGAGCATGCTCGAACACTTGGTCCAAAAGGGTCAGACGCCCACAAGGCGGCTGTGATCGGTGACACGGTTGGGGACCCTCTGAAAGACACTTCTGGACCTTCTCTAAACATCCTGATCAAACTGATGGCTGTTGAATCCTTGGTGTTTGCACCGTTTTTCGCTACTCATGGTGGTCTCCTGTTCAAGATTTTCTGAACCAATCTAAATTTGGTTATATTTTATTCTAGGCTACGATAGTTACGAGTCATTTAGCATCCCAATTTTAAAAGGTTTGGATCTGGAAGCAAAATTTTCCCACATGTAGAGTTGAGGACGAACCTTATATAGTAATACTAGTATATATATATGATAATAGTGGCTGATCTTATTAGAGCTGAACACTTCACTTGTAGCTCTGCTATTCTTTTTTTCTTTTACAATTACATGAATGATTCGATATCTTAATTCTTGATTACTGTGTGAAAGGATTCGAAATTCAAATAGCAGTCGGCTAATATTAGATAGCTTGCACAAATGCAACATATAATATAGTACATGAGATCTCGAACCTTAACTGGCATTGGGGGGGGGGGTCAAAATCAAGTGCAGAGGTACCCTCGAGATACATGCACCGATCATATTTGTACCTACGTAGTAAAAAAGTATCTAACACATAACCATGGACATCACAATCCATCTTCTCTGTTTCTAGCACAAGAAGATAAATGGTGTTTTCACTCAAATTAATGGCCTTAAGGACTCGTAATCGACTTCATTCCTATACCAAATTCTTTCATATCACGATGTGCTAATAGACAAGGATCAACTACAAGATTTGGGTTGAATTCTTATCTTGAATTCGTGAGTTCTGACTGCAACTCCGCAAAACGAGTGTCTACCCCAGACATTTGCAACTCTCTCTCCTCTCTCTTGGGAACAAACGGGAAGCAAATGAACTCTTTGGTTGTGCATTTCCCTGCGTAAATGAGTCCTGACCACAATTCCATTTGGTCTTTCGATATTTATTTCTCGTCCCAGTCCTCCTTCCTCAAAAGATGGGACGCTAAACAAAGTTAAGGAATTACTTCAAAGCTTAACATAGTGGGTTAAGAGATAATTGTGCAGCCACTTCCGACTCAAGTGACTGGTTTCCCTCTCAACCTACTTTTACTTCAAAAAATTATAATGTAGGTCCTTGACGGTCAAGAAGTGACAATTAGTCCATTAAGACGGCATTTGGTACAAAAACCAGACTAAGTTAGACCGGATAGGACTAATGTCTGTCTAGTCTTTGACACAAGTAGGACTGGGCTGGACAAGTTGCCATCAAATGTCTTTTGATGATTTTATATTCATATAGTGGTTATAAATTACACAAATTAAGTAAATATATAAATAATTCTACTTATATACATTTTGACACAATTTTCATATACACATATACACAAACACATAAATACATACATATATCCAATAGAACTAAATTTGAATGAAGAACTTGATATAAAAGATGGTAATTTGTAGGAACCTGATTCGTACAATGGAAACAAACTATGTTTTATTCGTTTGGAAGGTCATTGGCGGAGGCGGTAACAGTGGTGGCCGAAGACCGTGTAGGTTGTTGCAGCGATAGTGGTGGTTGCGGTTGTCAAAGGAGGAGGTGGTGGTTGAGGTAAAGGTGGTGATTGATATGGTGGTGAAAATGGAGGTAGTGGTTGTGGCGGTGATTTTGGTGGTAGTTGTGGTGGTGGGCAGTGAAAGTGGATGGTTGAAGATGGTAGTGGCCATGGGCAGAAGGGGCCGGTGGTCGACCATGGATGTGGTGGTTGCGGAGGACGTGACCTCTGTCTGACGGTGGTGGCATCTGATAATGGTGGATATGGAGGTGGTGGGCGGTGGTAGTGGTACCCGATGGCGGTGGAGGTGGTGATTATGGTGGTAGTGACCATAAAACCAAATACCACATTATGGTTAAACCAAATAAAGGTAGATTGGTAATTATTTAGTTTTGTCCCATCCTTGTGATTTTTTTTCTACCTATTTTGGTGGAACAAAAAAGATCGTTTTCATCCCACCAAGTCCTAGGTCAAGCAAAAACATGGAACAACCCTTGATCAAGCAAAAAAAATCATCCAAGGGCTACGAGAGGATTCCTACGGCTCTCACGAACGATGAAAGTTCCTACATTATCCCATATCAAAACCAAGTTTATAATCTCTACGAATATTGTTCCTCCAAGAAATGTAAACACTTTGACAAAAGCTATAATCCTAAATATACATGTAAATGTAAAACCAAAAAGAAAAACATTGCGACGTAAATGATGGCATGATAGTTTGTACGACATTCACATCATAGGTATCTTCTATATGGGTGTTAATATAAACATGCCATATTTTATTCTTTTTCTAAATTCTGATGAAACATATTAATATGCAATTGACATATATAACGCAGTCGTGAAAGAAAAAAAAAAAGCTTAAGGAACAACGAAAATACCATCTTGTTAAATCTTGCAAGCATCGATGGCTCTCCTGCCTTGCTGGTAATTCTTGAAAAAGAAGTCGGCAGTAAATGTGACGTTCTTATATAACCTTGGTGTTTCATCCGAAATGAGCTCATCCACAGGTCCAATGTCCTTTTCGGTTTGGGGCATGCAGAACATAGCGACAGTCATCCTCTCGTTTTTTGAGTTTACCAATACCCTATGCACTGTGCTCTTGAATATCCCATTACTCATTATCTGCACATTTTTGTAATCAAATAATGGTTGAGCAAATTAAGTGCAAGTTTTATGATCCAACATTACATTATGAATATAACTATAACCTACATGTCCAATCGAACTATAAGCTAAAAGTCTTATTAGGATATGTGGAATCCCTTGAATATCTCTCTAAAAGTGCCCTTTTAGAGAAAGGAGGTTCCTAATACATATTCTGATGGTCCATGTCTAGCCAATGTGGTACTCTGGCCCAATTTGTGAACTATTAAAATGACGGTATTTTTTGCCCATTTTTGCCATGAAAATAAAAACGTAGCACCAAATTCACGAGACATAATAAAATATACAGCAAGGAACCATGGATGTCAGGAAACTACTGTTATGTCTTTGGCCTTTTCATATATCCTGCAATTTGCTACCACTCTCCGTAATTTTCCTTTAACAAGAACTAGTGAACTATGTTATCACCACTTCACATTTAAGCCTAACCTGGCATGGTAGCAGGTTTCTTGCCTGATATTCCCAAATTGTTTAGCTTGTTTTGACTTTTGAGGTCAAATTAAACAGTTTCCAAATTCAAATTCGTATAGATTCTGTCAAAATTCTAACGACCAACATTTTTAATAGTACCAAGTATTTTCTGTGAATTTTAATTTTCATATCTAATTTTTCCATTACTAAAAAAGATCCTGAAGAGTTCTGGAATAGGAAAATATAATGTTTGACCTCAAAAGTCAAAGTGCAAGTTAAACTTTCGATGACTTGAAACAAGAGCTGATGGTTTCCCATAAGCCTTGTGCCCGTCTTGATATCCAAACAAATCTTTCTTGATGAATAAGATTGATTTGGAGTCGTCACAGTAGCTGGAAAACAAAAAGGATTACCTCCATTTGATCACCAACATTGATGGTGAGAGCATCACGAACAATAGGAACTCCAATCCACTTATCATCTTTCAAGAATTGAAGGCCTTCAACCTCTTTGTCTTGCAACAGAACTGTGATTGCGGAACCATCAGCATGTGGCTTGACTCCCAAAACTTTATCAGGCCATTGACAAGGAGGGTAATAGTTAAATCTTGCATTCATTGATGATTTCGTCCCATATTGGTTCAAGAAGCAATTTTCCTCCAAGTTTAATGATCTAGCCAGGGCCTTAAGGACAACTTCGTTGATCAACTCTATTTTGGAGCCATATTCATCAAGAACCTCCCTGGGAAATCAGAATTGCATAACAGGTCAGTCCTAAATCAACATTTCAAGTCAACTCTTACAGATACAGAGTTGGCTATTATAAGGGTGAGTAAGATATGGTTCTAAACTTCTAATGGCTGCTCCTTGAGTAAGAAAACCAAACCAGGTATAATAATAACTGAATTTTCAATTTTTTCACTTGCTGTTTATAACAAAAGGACTTGGTATTCATATGTTTTCACTTCTCATAATCATAGCAATTCCATCTTTATTGTTCACATGAGGTTGGATTTTGCAATTTAAGTTCCAATTATTGATGATATTGATTCTTCAAATCTATCCAATCATGACTTCTATTTGTTAACATGAAAATTTTAACTATGCATTTCCAAAATTTATTACAATAGAAGTAATATCACTTGTCAGTTAGTGGTTATAAGTCGTGACTCGGGTTAGCTGTTAGTTAGTTAGTTAGTTGATCTAATGTCCATATAAGTAGGTGTTGTATCTGTTGATTACTCAATTCAAAAGGTGAAAGATTACCTTTCTTCATCCTTCATATTAGAACTCCACAAATACCCTTTCAATCACGATAGATACTGAATGAATTTTGTGATATTGTTATAACCCGATTCAAGAACTTTCTTACTTAACTTCCAAAAGGAAAATGATACAAGCATTTTATACAATAATCTCCTAAGCATAGTGTAACACCCTAGTTTCTTTATTTGATAAATCTCAATATTTAATCCTTAAATGCAAATATTTATGAGTAATTCAAGTACTCTAGCAGCTGTTACATTTAGTGAAACATCTTAATTATAAGACTAAACAAGCTAGTAATAAGTTGTTAAGGCTAGAAGTGTGTTGGCAAGTCTAGTAAGCATGCCTAAGCAATCTAGTGATGAGTTGTTAAAGCTAGAAGTATGTTGGCAAGTCTAGTAAGCATGAATAAGCAATTTAGTGATGAGTTGTTTAGGCTAAAAAATATGAGTTGGCAAGACTATTGATTACAAGACAAGTCTAGGAAGCATGACAAGGAGTACTAGAAGCATGAGTTGTATAGATTCTCTTATCCTTAGAGATGAGTTGTCTAGATTCTCTTATCCTTATTGTCTATATTCTCTTATCAATGAGTTGTCAAGATTCTCTTATCTTTATAGATGAGGTGTTAAACTCTCGTAAGAGTACAATCTTGAGAGCAAAAAGAACAAGTAGTTAATGCAATGAATTTATCTATAAATAGGGATTGAAGGGTTACTATTTGTGCATACCAAAAAAAGAAATCTCTCTATATATACATAATTAAGATTGAAGAAAGGAATCAAAGGAAAAAATAGGCAAAATCAAGGTAAGTACTTATGTGATACATGCATGCAATATATAAAAGTATTATATGCATTACAAGTTATGTTGGCATGCTTGTTTTACATGAAAATATTGATACACATACATATTCAAGATATGCATGATGACATGTTCTAATACAGGTATACACACAAGACATGAAAATCATTTACATGTTACCATATGTGTTACACAAGGCATGAAATTTTTAACATGTTATGTATAACCATAATCTCCAACGTACGATATATTACGAGAAGAGACGTCTTGCAAACGAACATTATAGGGCAACCTTTTATAGACCCCGGGGGTTAGCAAACCTCAAGACAAATATGGTATACATGCATGTGACAAATGAGATCTCAAAAGAATGTTTTATGCATGATAAAGAATAGTATTTTATGAATGATAAT